AGTCTTAGTTGCCTTGAATCCTAACAGTGTAACCCTTAAATTCCATGCAAGCTAACCTTAATTTTAACACTCTTTAACAAATGTGTTGATGGTTTGTGAGTTATTTGTAGTTAAGCCATAGTTAACCCACATAGGATGCTATCGATTTCATTTGCTTGTTAGGATGTTAAGCTGGGGAGCAACATAGACCTTGAGCTTGAAGAAACAGAATCATGTTATGAGAGACAAGTCATGTCCTTAAATGCAAAAAGGAAAAGGCAAAGAGGAAGGGAAGGTTCTAGAAGTTTCAATTCTATAAGGATTGAAGCTAGTTTGAAATAGTTATCTAGATCGGTATTGGTCTGAATAAGTGGACCAAAACTGATCCCTTGGCCTCATAGCTCAAACCATGCCTTAATGCGTTGTAGTTGCCCCAAATCCCAACAACATAAACCCTTGAATTCTATGCAAGCTAACCTTAATGATAACACACTTTAACAAATGTGTTGATGGTTTATGACTTATTCGTTGTTGGGCCACCATTAACCCATGTGAGATGCATAATCAAGTATATTCACCTGTTGGGATGTTAAACGAATGTGCAACATAGATCGCAAGCTTGAAGAAACATAATTGTGTTATGGGAAATGAGTCATGTCCTTAAATGTGAAAGGGAAAAGTAAAAGACGAAGTGAAGGTTTTGGAAGTTTAGGGTTTTTAGGGACCGAAGCTGGTTTAAAATAGTTATCCAGACTAGTTTTGGTCTAAATAAGTGGACCAAAACCAATCTCTTGGTCCAATTGCTCAAATCGTGTCTTAATGTGCCGTAGTTGGCCCAAATCCTGACAACATAAACTTTTGAATGCAATATAATTTAAATGAAGAAAACAAAGCCATTAGGGAAGTGGAGTTCTAGATTGAACCATTATTTTTCACTTAAATTTTTTACAACTAGATTTTGGTATGAAATAAGTTTACAAATTGTTATCGATTAGAATAAAATTCCCAATTATTCTCCTCCCACCTACCTTAAAAATTTGACTTCCTCACTGTAAGTAACAAACATCTAATACAATAGACAAATAATGTTAATAAGTTTGACTAATCCTTTTAGATTTTCAAAAAATTTGACAAAATCTTATCTAAAATTCAAGCTACCATAGTGTTAAAAATAAACATACAATACACAACACCTTTTTTTATAAGACAAACATCATAATTAAATTAAATTAATTTGCCAATAACCAAATAAAAAATTTGTCTTTAATAAAATTTAAAACTTAAATTAATTTTGATTAATTCATAATGAATTCTTAAAAATTCTGTAAAATCTCCCTTAAAAACTAGACTTCCTCTTAATTAACAATAAACACACAATATATGCAATCCAATCTAGATAATTACAAATTACGCTATTTCAACCAAATGAAACCTGTTACTAACCAAGATCAACAATTTATGTTTAATTATATTAAAACTCATGTTAATTTCAATTAATTCATTAGGCATTTCTAAAAATTCGACAGTCTCCCGTAGAAACTAAACTTCCTCTCTATTAACAATAAATTAACATGTAATATACACAACTTGATCTAGTAATCATAAGTAGTGCTATTTCAAGCAAATTAAATATGTTACTAATCAAGATCAACAATTTGTATATAATAAAATTAAAAACTCACATTAATTTCAATTAATTCATAAGGCATTCCTAAAATTGACAAACACATCTAATGCCTTGTCCATGCAGAGATTCTCTATATAGGCCTTTTCAAATCATAATAGGTCTGGAAAACAATGCAAAAAATCGATATAAGTCCTGTCAATGTCGAGATTATTTCAAACCGTAATTGGTTTGTAAAACAATGGTAAATCCAGCCTTTCCCTTTTGCTAGCAAGCATATTACATTATTCTTTACATTTCTAAACTGGTTTTGATTTGAAAATCAATGCATAGAATAGCTAAGGGTCTGAAAATCACTACATTATTCCTTATGTTTTATATTTCTAGACCATTTCCAGTCTGAAAAAAGTTAAATAATATTATATTGATTCTTTTTTTTTTTTGGGTGCATTATTGTTTTGTAGCAAATATATAGACCATTTTTGGTCTAAAAGAAGTTGGCGCATTTTTGCCTAGTTTGTGCCCTTTTTATTTAGACTATAAACGATCTAAAAAAAAAAATTACAAATTATTTCATAATGGACATTGGCCAATATTTTGGCAGATTAGCTGTGGATTGAATTATTTTTTTTAGATTGTTAATTGATGGTCTAAAATATGACAGCCTGGATAACATGTTTTTCTAGTAGTGTTACTAGCTATCTTTGAACATTCAAAAAGAAAATTCAGAACTTGCAACACATGGCTAGCCACGCACTTAACTTAAAAACAAATTCAACATTTGAGTTTTAATAGCTATTGATCAACTCAATTTATAGATCTTAGTTTTTAGCACAACTTCTAGTAGATTTAGGTTGAATCCAACTTTCATTTAGTCAATCTAGTTCTTGTAATTAGTCCAACACTCTTTCCTTCTTGTAATGAACAACAATTATTTCAATTTTAGTATGGTATTACATCTTTTCTATTTTGTGGCTATTAGGTATTTATGATAAGTAGTGGTTCATCAAATAATTACTTATATGGTATTCACGTTTCAATTTCATCTCGTGTGTTAATTTCAGTTCTTTTCATATTAATTGCTTGATTATTTAATTTTAATTAGATCTAATTGACTGTTAATTTTTAATA